CTTCTCTCTCTTCTCTCTCTTCTCTCTCTTCTCTCTCTTCTCTCTCTCTCTCTCTCTTCTCTCTCTTCTCTCTCTCCTCTCTCTCTCTCTAGCAAACTGGAGTTGAGCTAGGGATCAGTGAGCAGACTGGCTGTATGTGACATCCACGGTAGAATACGCAATAACTCGCTTATTGCCCGATTCATCTAGGTGCAGCAGTTGGGATAGTTGGGAAGCACTGAATTTTCATGCAGACCATGGCAGGCCTGATGCTGACACAATCTTGCAGCTGGTCCAGTGGCGGCCAGTTTCCATCTGCTGCTCCATAACTATTAGCGATTGAGTCAGCCATCAGAATTCGAGTTGTCATGCACGTTACCTCTGTCCTGTGCGGCTACACGGCCACAGGGCCACACTTTCAGGTGTGCTGAATGAGTGCCTTTCCTGCATCAATTGTTTGCCCTCCTGCGGCGCTTGAAACACAAAGCACTGAAAAGGCTGTGGGCAAGCATTGCTGGGGTGCGATGCGATAAGATTGGCAGTTTGTGCCATTCAGTGTACGGATCGGCAGCCGCTCGCCACCAAGCGGCCGCAGCAGAGCTTTTGATGGAACTGCTCAGTTACAGAACGTGCTGCACATAGGGCATAGGGCATAGGACAAGGTCCTGTTCACTGGGGACAAGTGCCCCCGCGTGAAAACGCAACATGGTTCACGCGATACCCCCTGGGGCACGCCGAGGGGGTCGTCGTGACGCATTCTGTAGCCGGACCCTCCCCAAGCAGCCCGAGTGCTATTGCCAAATTGGCAAAATGAAGCAGCAAGTGTACTGGCACTCACCAATCACGATCACATGTCGTTCAGTCATGCTCTCTTGAAGGCCGTTTCAGGTGAGCTCAGGTTCAGCAAGATGATTTATGAAAATCCTGTACCCGTTCATTTGCTGTATGGAAGCTGTTTACCATGATGTGCATCATTGTGCATCTATTTGCATTCATCAGGTCCTTCAAACAGTTCTTTCATGTGGTGTTGACACTTCCAAGAATATGAGAAGCTGTGGTCTTGGAGGTGGTGCGTTTTGACATCATCACCCAGATGGAACGGCGGAGCCAAGACATTCTCACGTCTCCAAATTTCTGAGCTGTGCCAAGGCACACCGGCTGCACTCGGGCCCGCTGGCATGCACGACTAGTGTAGGCCCTCGGCTCCTGACTCGGACATCCTGAGCACAGATTTCCAGGAACACCTCCTCCCACGAATGCGCGAAAACTAAGTTTGAGGCAGTGCCGCCAGGCAGCGAATTCAGCAAGGAGAAATCATCATTAAAGCTTGAGATGCACATCCGATTGCGTGAACACATCGGCTAACTCATGACTGATTTGACTAGAAGGCAGCTTGAATTTGATCGAATGATACGTCACGTGTTAGACAATTGCACCTGCATAAGACATGTGCCTGTACAGGCCCATGGCTGCAGTATTTGCGACGCTGCCCAAGCTGCCCGTCAAACCCCCATCTCTCATTGCACACGTTGCAATGGAGCTCCTGTGAAACGTCCTCCTAGAAATCCCGGCTGTACAAGGTCTGACCTGAATCAAATTCTGACCTGACGGTCGGATGCTGTATGCCAGAAAAGGCACACAAGTAATAGTACCTGCTGACTATGGGCCCCTCGTTGCTCCCATTCAAAGGCTGGTCAGGCAAGCTGGGACATTGACTTTGAAATTGGCTGGAAGAGCAAAACGTTTCACCAAACCTGGCTGTTTCAGTTGGAATGGCCGAGCCCATAGTCAACTTGGCCACCGTCGATTGAAGGCGCAGCTCTTCATGGCTGCGTTCACAAAAATACAATCCTATGAATGATGACGTGGCCTCTGCATTTTTCAAATTGGAAACGGCGAAAGGTTGCTATGTTATGCGCGGATCATATCGCAGTGAATCTGTGTCTCCTCAACGTGAGAACGTTTCTGGGAACGCTTTCACATCTTAGTGGTATTCAAGGCTCCTAGTGGGCCAGTCCCTTAATTGGAGGACACAGTCGGACAACATGGGAAATATCAATGTTACTATATAAACCAATATATATTTAATTCAAACCAGGCACCGAGATTGGTTCCCAGTCGCCCGGCTTGCGCTGGCAAACTGTATGCGTATGGGATGTCACTCTGCGGTGGCGCGGGCATGGGGAACCTGGGTCAAAATCACAAGAACACGATTGAAAGTGCGATCAACTTTGAATAGACGGAAGGAGCACCTTTCCCAAAACATGTTGAACAAAGATGACAAAACACTACTCGGTTTGAAAACACATCGTTAAAACATATCTCAGTTGCATCGGAGGCATCTGCTGCAGTGGCCAGGATGACCGCTCAGGCCTCTGGGATCGCCACATATCATATTCCCTCACTGCCTCTGCACCCAAGAAGTGTGGCATCCAGTCAGGCTGCCCTTGCGTGCCAGATGGGTTGGAAAATTGCCAAGCTTGATCAGTCATAGGGGCGCTCATGTTTCCACTTGGCAAAGGCATTGGCTGCCACTGACTGCCGGCATGGCTGCCGTAGCTTGCACTGCCATTCCATCTTCCACTCATTGGAGAAAAATCTGGCGTTGGAACTTGGGAAGGTTGTGATGGACCCTGCAATGCGACCTGCTGCCAAGTTGCATCTGATGCAGCTTGCGCCAGCATGTCCTGCTCCAGTTGCTGGTCAGCAGGGAGCGGCATATACCTGTGCTCTCCAGGTCCCAGTTTTCCGTCCACACCTTGGCGTGATACTTGCCGCCTCTTGGTTTTCTTGGCGCACACGGCAGATTTGCGCAGCCAGCACGCTAAAGCCACCAGGATTGCACTCAAAACAATGAGCGCAATCCAGAACCAAGGATTGGAAAGCATGCTGCCTGCAGGGCTTGCAGGGCTTGTGGTCGCTAGGTAGGTGACAACAATTGCAAGAGCAAGAAACTCCTTGAAGAATCACCACAACAACTCGTAAGAGCACAATTCAAGGCGGTACCAACATTACCTTATTATTTTAGTTCCTTACTTGATTCATTAATGCAAGAACGACCTGAAACTTCAGAAATGGCCCTGCGAAAGGAAGACCTGGAACAAAAAAAAGTTGCGCAGGTACGCCGACAGGACGTCTCCCGTCAATGTCACGAGCAAAAAAAAATGTTTTCGCCCTATCTCTGCTTCAGGCGCCCCCTGTGATTTGTCTGCAATGAACTATATGGCCTGAGCCAATATGAACTGAGTTAATCCAAAAACGTGTGTTGTGAATCCCTTTCAGACGGGGTGTGTGACACACGAATGAGCATAAAGTTCAGTAAGTGATTCGCCGATGCACTAGACGTTTACTGCAATGCAGGAAACACCGGAGTGGAACAGTTTTTGCTCTACCTAGGTTCTCCAGAATCGCAGGCGCAGGTACGTTCAGAGAGCGTCCTCTCCGAATGCTACATCCGATCAGCAGCGTTGACTGCTCAAGGGATCATTGCCCCCCTGCTCAATTGAAAACCCCTACTAGTATCAGTAAAATCCGTATCGAAGAATCTCTTGGAAACAGAGGTGTGCACACACAAGCAGCCGCAAGGCGGCGCGCCCTCGACTCACAGCGCTTTAGTACTAGTGCAAAAACAATGCATTGGACAGCTTAAGCCATACTGGGGTTACGTTTTACCGAAGCATTAGCCCTTTAGTGAACTCTTAGAGACAGAATGCTCTAGTGGAAGCCGGCTGTCACTTGACTAAAAAGGCCTGGTTACGCACCTAAAAAGCCTCAAACAAAAACAAGACCTAGAAAGAGAAACAAAAGGCAGGAGAGAACGAAGCGAAAACCGAGGGTGGGGTTGTGTGTGAAGCGTCGGCCACAGGAGTCTCAAGCTCAAGAGCAGCCTAACAATCCTGAAGAAACACCTAGCAAACGAAGAAAACCGCAAGAGAGAAAAAGGGTGTGGGTGTGTCTCTGTGTGTGTAATGCGCACGTGGTCATGCAAACATGTTATCTCGCCGCGTGAAGTGTGTGATGAGTGCTGGTAGGAGCTCAGTGAAAGTTGCCCGTAAGCTCGGCAGCATTTAGTCAGCCGTTCCCGGAGGTGCTCAAATGTTCAGGAAACGGCTCTCAGCGGGCAATGACGAATCAACAAACTCCAGTGATGAATTCGGCGCCCCAATCGGGGATCACACTGCACACCCAAGTGGGAAAATGCAGCCGGTCAATGCTGGTCACACTTAGATTCATAGCTCAACTGAATGAGCATAAAGTTCAGTAAGTGATTCGCCGATGCACTAGACCTTTGCTGCAATGCAGGAAACACCGGAGTGGAACAGCTTTTGTTCTACCTAGGTTCTCAAGAATCGCAAGCGCAGGCACAATCAGAGAGCGTCCTCTCCGAATGTCACATCCGATCAGCAGCGCCTTTGTTAGGCAGTGACTGCTGAAGGGATCACTAACTAACCCCCTGCTCAATTGAAAACCCCTACTAGTATCAGTAAAATCCGTATCGAAGAATCTCTTGGAAACAGAGGTGTGCACACACACACACATAGCCGAATCGCTCGCTCTTAGCAAACTGAGCTTGCAACCTGAAAAACCTTTAGAAGAGAAACATACTCAGAAAGAAAACAGAAAAATTAGACTCGACTCAAAGAGTGCAATCGGCGAGTTTTCCTGCTAACGCGGCAGGCTATATACAACGCATTACAACGCAATGTTGCTGAAGGAGCACAAGCAAAGCTGCTATAAGATCTATAACCTGAGTTTGGCGCACGCCGGGAAGGTTGGTGTGGTTGCCAGCTGCGCGTTGAAAGGCCCAGGCACATGCACCGACACCAACACGCGGTGATCCCGTAATTAGGGTGTAAACCCCGGCGAAAGAAGGACGTGGCATGTTGTCAAGGTGTGGTGTGATGTCTGTCTTCCTGGCAATGCGGCAAATTACAATGCAATGTTCCCGCAGGAGCTCCGGCAAAGCTGGTACCTGGCACAAGCCGAGTTCAGCACCCAGGCACACCAACACGCGGTGATCCCATAGAGCGTAGACCCAGCGGGGAGAAGGGAAGGACGTGGCATGTTGGCAATGCGTGGTGGGCGTGGTCAAATGCATGTCCGCCGACCTGATTTACGACCTAACAAGCCTTTGGAAAGATGCACGCTGCGACACACGTTTGAGAAAGAGCTCGCAAGAGAAACTTCAGCACGGTACCAAAGGCGCGTTAATATTTGATGATCTGATTGCTGCATTGCCCGACTCCAAGACTGCGAACGGAAGGCCTGGAACAACAAAAAGTTTTGCCTCACCAACTGCAGGTACGTCGACAGGAAGCCTCCGGTCGATATCACAAGCACGTGAGGCCAGGGGGAGGGGGCCGAAAGCTAGCGGAAGCACACTCGCGGTTTCTTTATCCGCACTGCGGTCGTTGAGGTCAAAGCTTACCATCGAGATTTCAATGAAGTGGGATCAAGTGGGACATATAATATATAGTAAAGTCCACTTTACCTATGGCTGTGGAGGTGGACGCGAGTATAGAGCTTAAAAAGAGCTTATATAGCAATATAGCTGTTTACCAATGCAGCCCAGCAGCCCAGCAGCTGAGCAGCCCAGCAGCAGCAGCAGCAGCAGCGGCGTGTCAGCAGCAGCAGCAGCAAGCGGCGGCGGCGGCAGCAGCAGCACCAAGCCGCACCAAGCAGCAAAGCAGCAACCAGCAGCAGCAAACAACAGCAGCCAGCAGCCAGCAGCCAGAACCCAGCAGCCAGCAGAAGGAAGGAAGGAAGGAAGCAAGCAAGCAAGCAAGCAAGGAAGGAAGCAAGCAAGCAAGCAAGCAGCGTCAGCAGCACCGTTTACACCAGGCCACGGTTTACACCAACCACCGTTTACACAAGCGTGCACACCACCGTTTGCACCAAACCACGGTTTGCATCGGCCACCGTTTCACACCAAACCTGCACACGCTCAACCAACAGGATCCCGCCGTGGAGGCCGGTTGAGCGGTGGTTGAATGTTAGAACTCCGCAAGCATGCTAGCTTTTGTGAAACGTTAGGTGTCTTCAAGTCTTCTTTTGGCACCTGCCCTTTCTCTGCTTCAGGTGCCCCCTGCGATTTGTCTGCCATGAAATAACCTGATTTGATTTAATCAGAAAGCGTGCATTGTGAATCCCCTTGAGACGGGGTGCGCCACACTTAGAACAGAGCTCGGGTGAGCACAAGGTCAGACAGTGAATCTGCAAGTGCAGCAGGTGCATTAGAACTTTCAACCTGCCGAAAGCACACAGAAACGGCCCTGTGCACAACGGAAAGTGAAGAAGCCCAAAACAATATTGTTTAAACCATCATGACTCTGCAGGTACGTCGCACTATGGCCTTGTCATGCTATCCACCGGCCCCCCCTGGCTTTCGTGGCAGTGTCACTGTGCATGGATGCCATGTCCGCAAATGGCTCACACCGATCCAATACGCAGTACGCCGGTGTCATGACAGGAACGCAGGCACGTGGCTTTGCCGGATTTTGCCGGACGTCGGCGTTCCGCTGCTGATATACTATTATGGCACACCTCTGCCTGTGCCAAGTGTATTTTCATTTTATGTTCTCTCGTAACCCCCATGTCTTAATCTTCTGGCAGGTATATCGGCATATAGGTGGACCAGTGTCTCGGTGCAGTTGGGTCTTCGAGCGCTTTTCTTGTCACACTGTCTCGTGAGGCTGTGCAGTCAAGTGTTCAAATTTAGGGGTGCCTGCTGCAGGTGTTCAGGGTTGAATGGGGGGTTGACCCGTTGACACTGGAGGCGAATAGCTACACAGTACACGACACACGTTGTTGGAAAGGAATTTCTAGAACAGACTTCCCTGCCTAGCTGGGTGTTGGATGCATGGGATCGCGGTGTGGGATCAGGGCTTGAGGTTACACAGTATGGTGACGGTGAGGTGGAACAGACTTGTGGATTGGGACAGTGGACGTGGCAGGGGGTGGATGATAGGGCTGGGGGTCTGGGAGATGTTGCTTTGCCTGAAGGCTGCGGGGTGGTGTCCATTGCAGTGGGGCCTGTGGAAGCACAGAGGGTATCTGAGCGCACATGTTGTCTTCGTGTGAGTCAGTGGTGATGCAAAGGTACAAACATTTATTAAGCATCTATGCCACCATCCGAAGAGGAGAAGAAATGGCAAACATTTGTGTGAATGGATGGCCTCCCACCTAATAGCGATGGCCTCCAACCTACCAGCGATGGCCTCCAAGTTCGCACGTATTCGGGCAAGTGTACCAGGCAGGTTGGGCGGATACATTCAGGTTGGGCTAGGCTAGGTAGGTATGTAGGCAATTCCGATCCCCATTGAAGATGGATGGATGGATGGACGGACGGACGGAGGGAGGGAGAGAGGGAGGGAGGGAGGGCGGAAGGCATGGATGGACGGATGGACGATGGACGGATGCTCGGAGGGACCAAGGGACCGAGAGACGGACGGACAGACAGATAATGAAAGATAGAAACACTGATCAAATCAGTAGATAGATGAGACCATAAATAGATAAAATGCAAATAATTCAATCTAGACAAACAGGTAGATCAACATGACAAATGGAGAAATAAACAATGCTGGCCAAAGCGGGGCCCATGCAAATGAGAGCATGATTTTGGGGGTCAAGACCACACTGAAAGACACATGCAGTAGATCGATCGATAGATCCTGATAGATTCATAAAGAAGTAGGCATCAATCACGCGCTTGCGAAGCCTATCCAGAATTTGGGCCAGTGACGAGAGTGCTTTAGATCCAGCGAGAATCGGAATCGGTGCAACCTTGTTTCGTCTGGCCTCCTGCTCCTGCTACCTCCATCTCGTCTGCTGAAGGTTCGTAAACAGATGGGAGACCTTGGCATTCCTGAGGTCCTGCCATTGCAGATTCAAAGAAGATAGGCTTTGCCGAGGCCACATGTAGACCGCATTGCTGAGAGTCTTGCAGGTACGAGAAGAAGGCACCTGGGATCTCAACCCACAAAAGTGAGAGTTCCTCATTTCTCCAGGCGGTTTAGACCGAACGGTGTGTGTGTGTGCTTAAACTGAATACCATTTGGGAAATCACCTCTTACACCCATTCATGACCCGAATCTGCAAAGACCACGCAAATCAAGCTTCCCACGTCTTATGTTCCGAAGCTATTCCTCTGAATTAGGCATTGCCAAGCTAGGTAGGTACGGGAAACACAAAGACTTCGATCAAGCCGCAGCCTGCCGTCCTTTGGCACATGTTTTGGCATGCCCTTGCAGTAAGTGCTGTTGCCAAATCCGCCATATTTGGTTCAAACTTCGTCCCCATCACAAAGCACTGTGCGAAAGGTATTGCCTCCACCAGCACCTGGTTCGCTTGCACAGCTGAGAACATGGGAAAGTGCACTGAAACAAGGTCGAATCCTGAAAGACAAAAAGAATCGATTAAAAAGCTATATAAATATATAAATGGCAATGGCAACTCAAATTGCAGAACTCCCAAGAAATGAAACAAATGCGTGCCTCCATCTGTGCATCTGAAGAAGCAGTGTCAGCTTGCAATGCCTCGCGCAACTTCCGATTTGCTTCGCTCTGAGCTGCTACCTTCTGCATGTCCTGGACAGTCTTCAATAAACTCATTGTGTGCATGCCTTGGTTTGTGTACGGGATACATAGTGACTCCGGCTACACAAAGAAGGCTTCTGGAGGGATGAAGACCTGCTCACTAGATCTGGCGTCGGTCCTGAAGTTTGCTTCCAGCAGGCATATCTACAAAGGAATCCATGAAGAGCTTCCCAGAAGCAGAAGCATCTGCTGACAACGTGACCTTGCCAACCTGGCCGGCCATGTCACGAATGTCGTGCACTGGTATCTTGGCAGATTTTGCCAATTCTGTGGCAATCTCGACTTGCAAAATGTCCTTTTCCTTCTCAAGCTTGGCCAAATCTCCAAGGTCTTGAAGCGTCAGCCTCACCTGTGCCACACATCTAGCCGGGCCAGAAACAGCCCCCGTCTCTGGTAGCCAAATTGCATCAAGGCCAAAGATTTTGCAGCTACCATCTTCATAGCGAAATGTGAAGTGGCCACAGCCGGCAGTGTTTCGGCAATTGACCTGGAGTAGACTGTGCATTCTATCTAACATGAAGTAGCCATACCCCCAAGTTAGGTTTCATTGTAAACAACATCTATGCGCACTTGCGATGCCTTCATGTGAGCATCGGTCTAATGTTGGATATGTGCGAGTTAGTTCTACTTATATAGGACCCCCAAAGGATTTTGATGGCCTTTGTTCTCTCAGATTCAAACCGCTGCTGATACATTGAGGGCTCCGCCACTTGCTGCAAACTGAACGTAGAAAGTTCGCTATTACATGTGTAATAGATCACCCACCTAGGACCTAGATCAAAGCAAAACACCGAGCACGACTATGACTATCACAATTGGTCTTGCCAAGTCTTGCACTACAAGCGCTGTCCCTGCTAAAGAGATCGGTAATGTAGTGCCGGTACAGCAAGCCAGGCACGGCCAATTCAGTATTTAGCAGCAGCTAGCTGAGCAAGCTTGACACGAATTTGGCTAGGCAGGCAGGCAGCTGCTGTAAAACGCAATATGCACCACCTCATGTAACAATCCCCATGCCCATCCATGCCCCCTCATTCAATGTTGGTGATGCAGCGTTCTAAATTGCTACGAAGGTCCGGCTGAAAGTGCACTTATCAAAAGGCCAGTCAACAAACAGCTCAATGGTGCTAGCTGGCCACACTAGTCACTAGCTTCTTCCTGGTATCACTCAGGGGGGCCAAGGCCTGGACCAAGAACCACCAGAGGTGATGGATGGGCCACTGACCCTCTTGTCGGACGCATTTGCAACGTCTGAAGGCAAACGAAGGCATTGAACAAACAATCCTACAAAAAGGACAAATCATCAATCATGCAGCAATCCCCTAAAGTCCCCTATATAAATAAGTAGGTCGGCAAATAAGAACTCAAGCATACAACCAAGCTGACAAAACATTGTGCAATGTGATGCGCCATGATGCGCCCATTTAGCATACGCCATGCGATTGGCAAGAATCTGGCGTATTACTATGGTACAGTACTCCATCAAAGGATTGAGGAGAGGGCCTGACATTCAGTGAGGTTCGGTGTGTGGAGGATGGCCCCAGCTTCGCTTCCAGAATATTCGATGTTTTCATACAAGCACCGGGATACAGCATCGTCAGTCTCTGGCAGCTTCTCCTTCGTGGCTGCTTCGGCAGCTGTTTCCTCCTCTTTTTCAGCCTGTGCAGCTTGACCTCCTGGTGGTTTACCCTGGTTCTCTGGGGCGCAGCTGAAGTAAATGCTTGCAAACCTCATGCAAACATGGAATGCTTGTAAAATGTCCAACCAATGCAAACAAAAATATTCGCACGTTTATGTAAATGTGACGCATGGGTTACCAAACACACTTGGGGCATAGTGTTGACAAACAATCAAAGAAAAGCAGCGCTTTGGCAAAAACAAGCTCAAGGACCATCATTCCATGATATAAGCGACGAGAATGTTGTAAACACACTTGAAGTGGAGCTTTGTTGCTTACCAAGCAACTCCTTTTGCGACACCTCTTCGTTACCATCAGCGTCGGCATAAACAAAAGACTCATCTGCAGTAGCTTTGCTCATTCCTTCTTCTGGCTTGTAGGTATCCCAGAAGGATGTTTTCCACTTCCTTGGAAGACATGTATCATATCATTGGATTGTGGAACCCATGCCGGACAGGCACTCCCAGCATGCTGTCTGCTCAGCTCCTTCTAGATAGGTTCAGATCCAGTTAAGCGAACCTATGGAATGTGATAGCGGTACATAGTCTATTCTGAGCCAACATCGAGGCTCTTCTCTGTGAAACTATGAAAACACTGCGACGCACTTTCGGCCAACCGGGCCGACCTGGATAATCGTTCTTTCAGCTTCTGGCGTGGCTCAATCAAGCACACTCAAACTTGCCAAGATTTGCCAAGTCAAGTGTATCTGTCTTTTCGGCAATGCGTGCAACATACGCACTGGATCGTACTGGCGACGCCATCATGCTTCCAGCTATTGATCTTTGCGTGCTCAACCTAATTATAATTTAACCTCCACTCCACTCCCAAAAGAAAAGTAAACGCACACAGGCACACAATTGGCCTGTAGGGCATCCTCCTACACTTCAACAAAATGCGCCAGGCGCCAAATACACAAAATTGCTCAAGTTTATGCTTTGTCTCTCGAAGTTCACGGGGCTCTCAAAGCCAAATTCAGCACCGCTCAACCTGAGCTCGCAGCATTGAACAAATTGGCAAGCTGGGCACATGTGCAAGGCAGAACGGCTTCACCAACTTGCACAAACCACATGGCAAACAGCTGCATCTTCAGACTCACGGCAATCGATGTGCAACCTGGGTTCGCTTTCCAGGCTTCTTCCCATGTGAGGTATTGCTTTCGCAAGATCTCACACCATCCAAACATTGACAAGTATGTGCTCGCAAGGCCGTAGCCAGTTCGGAACCTGAGAGTGATTCTTGCTGGATGTCCCATGAAATCATTTGTGTCCTCTCAGACAATGGAAAGCGGTCGGGGTTTTGCAACCCAGCTACTCAAGAGGCTCGACGTACCCGTCAGGCGGCGTTCCTCCTCAGCTTGGGGCAGCATGTGCATGGCATAATCTCTTCACACATCATCTTTACGTACCCTGACCAAACATAGAAGCCACACCACTACAGGACAGCCCTGCAGGTTGGTACACACCTTCACCCTCCCATTCTCACCCCTGTCACATTGTCATCCGGAAAGGACCACAAAAGAAAACTGCCAAGCTGCCTAGTGTGTCAAAGAATCTGAATGCTTCTCGCCAACCTGGATGCACCAAGTTTGCCAAAGGCCACTTTCCCCAAACCTCGCCGAACATATAGTAGGGGACCTTAGTCTCAGGAACTGTTCTGAAGCTTGGAGACCAACTTGGCCCCCTGCCCTGCTGCGACCAGGGCTGTGGCGGGCCCAGCTTGCAAGGGAGTCACCTTTTCCATGGTTTTGTCGCAAAGCTCACTCCAGGCCTCGGCAAGTCACCTTCTTCAGATTCATTGGGATAGCTCATGATACTTGATGATGCTTGTATCTGAGGGGCGGACAGCATCAGCAGTCGGAAACTTCTCTTGCACCCATGAGCTCCAATTGAACACAAGCTGACGGCTGGCAAACCGAGCAAAGTCTGCACACCCCTGACAAAGATCCAGAATGTAGAGTTCGCAAAGCTGTCCAAATGTATTGCAATTCAGATATGCGAGTAGGTCCGAGTAGGCTAACAAAATAATTATGTACAAATCTAGACCGTTCTTTATTCTCTCTGTGGTAGTGAGCCAGTGAACAAGCCATTTAATGGTAGCACAGGCAGTTCCACGGCTTTTAGATATGGTCCGTAACTTTACCCTTTATCGAGGAAAAACACCAAATGCACATGCAATGCCATTGAAGGAGTTCCCATGGCCAATAGAAGACTCAAGCATGCAACTGGTTTGCCACATGCAAATCACTCATGGGCACAGGAAGCGAACCGACACCACAAAAACTCATTGCATTGTTGATGCACAAATCCCGCACTACCTCTTGCATTGTAAGAGTTCGTCCATCAACGGCATTGTGTATAACTGTATAACATCTCAAACTCAAACCATAAAACCATTGAACGGTGATTGTGTTTAGCCGTCCGCTAAAGCCAAGGGGTGTTGATAGCCTTATTCAAAGCAATGGAGCAACTCATTCAACAATGGCCCTAAGCGCAACAAAGTAGTTCCACAAGGAATCCCACGAACTACTACGTCGCCGGCTCAAAATTACGACTATGACTACGACAACTCTGCACAGGGGCTGGTCGTGGGCAAGGTTGAGTTCTTGTGGGACAACATGCACTGGCTATTCTGAAACAATGTTCGCTACTAGGAACAAGTGCATCGCTTCTAGTAACAAGTGCCTTACTAGTAGTAACAAGAAACTATTTTAGAATCAAATTAATATATGAAACTTTGCCGTGTTTCTTGCAGCAGTGTCTCCTTAGGGACGGATGGCTTGGTGCAACCATGATATGCAGTATAACTGAAGCCTCGGAGAACAGCAAATGAGGCTGTCTGCAGCGCCACAAGCTTCAACAAATTTAATGTTGTTCCAGGAGCTTATGTTCACGAGTTCATGCGTTCCACCTTCGGGAACGCCACGCACAATTACATCCAGCTCCTCAGTTCGTCAGCAACTCAGATCATCCTGATGCACTTCAATCTTGCACTTGGGGTGCGTATCAGCCCTATCAAGTAGCCAAAATGCATCCAACTGACTTCTTGGGATGTACCAATGTAATTCAGGCCCACACGCCAGTTGCCTCCACAAAATCATCTTGCAAAATGCTGACCAGGTATCCTGCCTACAGATTCCTACAGTACCTTCAGCACATGGATTTTCAGGAAGGCCGGCCTTCCCACATGCCAGTTTGTTGAGAAAGCACTTGGCCTACAGCTGGTAGCGGGTAGCAAATGGTAGCAGTGCGAAGGATCACATCAAACATGGATGCACATAGAGGGACACGGCCTGCATCCAGCTGCAAGGACAGGTCCCGCCATGCTTGTGTTTTCTCTCCATCTTTCACAAAAGGTATCTGCTTGTTGTCCAGAGGGTCTCGGAAGGCTATCATCATGGCGAATTGCGCACGGACCAGGAGCTTCAGGTCCTGTGGGTGTCAAGCTGCACAAGAGAACCCTCGTGCTTCTCCAAGGCAGAGGCTTGCAAAGACTGGTGTCAAGACTGGTGTTATTCGAAGGGATTATCCGTGTGTACATACAGCCCTACAGTACAATGTAATTACACCACCGTAGACCCCAAACAGGTGGGACAACAACAAAGCATTCCCAAGTCCACTTTTTGAGACATCAAGAAGGGAGACAAGAAGGGAGACAAAAGGAAATAGAAGGGAGACAAGACGGGCACAATGGCCAACAAGAAGGGAGACAAAAGGAAA